TCCATTGTATGATTCTATGATTCTATATTATATATTTTGTGTGCATATTCAGTGTTAAATTGTCATTGACACTTAATAAGTGAAACACAAAGATGATACGTATATCTTCTTGCCTGTTCCATCTTTGGAGGCAGAATGGGAACAGGGTAGGAAAGCTTTCACTGTTAAGTTTCAGCATTTTTCTTTGTGCTTGAATACTTAGCAGCTAGCCTCAGGGACTGATGATCTCAGTATTCTGGTCCTATAATTGGGACAATATGAGGAATCTTAGAAATGTGAAAAGAGAAAAAAAACGTACCCAAACCCATGATTTCTGACTGAAATAACATGCAAATTTTTTAAGCAAAGGTGTCCTTCCTACAAACTTGATACTGAAACTTCTAGCATTTCTCTAACAAAATTATTATGACAGAAAAAAATCCAACATATCATAATGAAATATTTTTTCCCTGTCCCAGCTGCAATTATTAGCTTAAGGGTAAGTTTTTCAAGCCTGCCCAAAGTGGTAGGGGAGCCTGGGGCACTGAGGACGGAGAGGACGGAGAGGAAATCTAAGTTATTTCATCATCTAACAATACACATTGGTGGTTTGTGACATTTTCAGTCATGTTTAAGCAGGTAAAGGTACACAACACTGGCTTTTGGTGAGATTATGGGCCCCAAGATCAAGCTCCACTGAAAACAAGGGATTTTACATGTATGTAAAAACCAAAGCAATAGGTGTTCAATTGATTTTACAGCTATATTCTTGCTGAGATTGAGACATTAACCTCTCCCTAAATCTGGCATTTACTAACTTCTAGTGATTACACCCCTAACAGAGTAAGAAGCACAAAACCCACAAGTGTCTTATCTTCCACACAAAGAGGTTTGTCTTAGCTACAGCTCATCTTTCTCAGCTGTTCTTAAATGTCCTTACACACCTCACCTACCTGTTTCCGAAGTGAGGTAGCCAGCTCAGCTGCAAACCAGTAACAAACAGTAATGAGAGACAAGGAGATGGAAGAGGGATAACGTAGTTACTGTAGGGGTACCCTGCTTCTACAGCATTTTTCTCTTCTCAAGATTACAGGCTTTGCTATTTCTAATTTTGAAATAAGAGTTTAGCTTGTACGTTTAAAGCATACAAAAAAGCATACTAAGTATTAAAAAAGGAAAATGTTGCTTCCCTTAGCTGGAGTGCCTCCAAAATGTACCCGTGCTGGGGGTGGTGGTGAGGTGTTCATTAACAATTTTTTCAGGTGCACATATTTTAGAATAGGTGTTCTACTGATGTAAACACTTAAGTCAATGAAGTTTCATGTTCATGAAATAAAGCTATAATTAATGAAAGTTCAAATTCAAATGTGCAATTGCAAGAGATTACTAAAAAAAGGTCTGGCAAAATGCAAGCCACCCCAAACTCTATGATCAACAGGATTGCGTTAAGTCACTCAGTCATGCTAATTCATCCAGTTTTATTACTAGCTCTTCATTAACACTCACTCTCTGTGTAATTATGCAAATATATCTGAAGAAAAAGAAAATTCATTTCAAACCTGTTTTTTTAGTTCTGGAGGAAGTGTAATAACAACACATGTTTTTCAGACACTGAAACATAGCACCTATGAACATACCACTACTAATGACATTTCATTAATTTAAACACAACAGTTTCCCTGCATCAGTGTGGCAAACCTTTTTGTATACCTAAATCTAACTTTGACCTAACACTGAAGTTCACTTTCCCCTGAGGTGGGGGTTGGACTTGGTGTAACTGCTTCTATCCTTGATTATTCTGTGGTATCTCACTACTTAGGAGATACTTGGCTGTATTTGAATCTACACTTTTGGGAACTGTATTATCTTTCTGTTGTAATTATATGTCCTAGCTTCACATACCAGGCATGTTTGGGATGGGAAACCAAATAAGAAAAGAGAAGTAGTTGTGTTGGCTTCTTTAGCAAAAGAGGAAGATGTTGTGTGTAGGGGTGCTCCAGGAATTGCCATACCATGCTACCTGATGTGCCAGACTTCTCTCCATCTGTGCACAGATATGGTGTTGTCTCATGTGCAAAAGAAGGTGGCACTTGAGAGTTCTGAGCATGGCAGACAAAGGATCAAGAGATAGTACATGATTTAAAGAAGAATATTGTTTCTCTATACACTTGATGTAGGGAACGGTCAAATCAGAGGCATTTCTTCGCTGACTCTAAAAACCTTGAATCTGCAGAGATTTGCTGTTTCTGCTCAGTGATGCTCAGGTCAGCAGTCAATATACAACCAAAAAGACGTGAGTGAGAAACACAACATCAAGCATTTGTGAGCCCAGGCAGGATCCATCTAAATGCTGGATAGAGCTTAGAATCTGCTCAAAGATCAGTGTCTGTCTCATAACTAACAAGGGAACCAAAAGGAGACATTAAGATAATTTGCTGCCAACTGGTTATCTCTAAAACAATCACAGTCATGTTCTCTACAAGAACCTCCAGCTTTCTGCAACCCTCATAGATCCCACATCAGATCACAAATCACAAGGAGCAGTGAATAAATCATGCATGTGTGGTTCCAATTCAATACAAATTCGACCTTGACATCCAAAGGTGTTCCTGGAGTTTTTATGTTAGAACACTGATCCTAAAAAAGCAATTTCTCTTCTGTTTGTCCTTTGAACCTGGCTGTGTCCATTACTCAGCACATTCAAAACTGCACCTCAGGAATAGCAGAGCAGTAACAGCCCAGGTAATTTTGATTGGTACAAAGAGCAAAAATAAACATGAAATTTCCTCTCTGGACTTTTCCTATACAAAAGTGCAAGAGAGATTAACATTATAATTAACTGTTCTGCTCACTGAACAGCTGCAGTATCAGGTTTGACTTCCTCTTTAAGGAAGGTTTGGGTCTGTGGGATTTTCTTTTTCTCTAAAAGGGAAGATTAGTACTGAAGTCTTGGCCACAGTGAAAGGAAGAACTAATCTTACTCTCATGCTGTGGGAGTATGAAGTTGAATGGAACTTCTTCTAAGACGGGATGCCTGAATTATAGGTGCCACAGTGTTAAGCAAGCCATATGACTGAATCTAAGATGGGGCAGCACTACTTGGACAAAGGCCCTCTTGCGTGAATCTAAGGAATCTCTTCCCTACTCTGCAGCCAGTTCTGTACACATTCATCTGGATACCCAATTGCCAAATATTGTTATGTGACAGATATCTGAAGTTATCTGCCTCTTGATTTTGGTTGATAACATTGTCCAACGAATATATTTTTCATCTTATAAGTCACTAAGGAAAAGAGCTGGTTCCACTTAGGTCATGCTATTTCAGCTTCTTAGGACAACATCAGGAATAAAATAAACACTCACTCCGTGCCCTGCCCCAGAGAAGGACCACTGCATATCAATAAATTCAAAACTAAAAGAACATATTATTATTGTAAAGACAAGATAAACATGAAATGCTGTATTTCTGGGCACGTGCACACATATACTTCATTGCTCCGTGATCTCACTCCTCACAAAAAACAAACTGTTTAATTCTGATTTTTAAAGAGCAAAATCATTTGCTATATTGAAACAGCCCATTCATCACATAAAGCATTTGATTCTGTCACCTCAAGTACTTGTTAAATCACTTCCAGCTGCTACAATCAAGGGCTAGGTACTTCCAAGGTCTGACACTTTCTGAGCTCTATTACACCTTTAAGTATGATTCTTCAATCCAATTCTAACCTTCATAATAATCAAGTGCCCACTCCACTTAACTTCAAGGCAACTGGGGAACCTGGAATTCTCCATATATGCCTGTATCTGATTTTCAATCAGATCTCTTCAACCCAAGACTGAAAGCTCCTGAATATCAGCTAAGTATTAAAATGGCATCATTTGCAACTGCAACAGTGTCATCAGTAGCACTTCCATTGTTAAGCTCCTGTTTTTCCCAGGTCCAAACCAGAATGTTTAGACTAAGGCTGGAATTAAATATACAAGGAAGAATTTAGCTACAAGCACGCATGGTGCTTGCTTTATAAACAAACTCTGTCTGCTCACACAATTTGTTTATGCGAGTTTTAGCTAACTTGCTGCATATTACTATATTATGCTTTATGTGCTTACAAAAGGGGATGTCACTGACATTGTAAATACTGCAAGGCAGAAGTTGGTAAGAAATGTAAATGTGACCCCGGTTGTTAGTATGTTGCTTGTAGTATTAACCTCACAGTTGAAACGCTAACTAACATATGTCATTCCAAAGTAAGCATCATTGTACTAAGGAATTTCTTCCCCACTTCCATTGCATAAACTGGAAGAACATCTATTAGTTTTCCTTTTCTGTCTCTCAAAGCATTAGCTCCTGTCCACCTCAGGAGCAAGTCACTTAACTGTATCATTGCACAGTGATTCTAAAGACCCTGCAACACCTCCAACACTTTCAGGTACTAAATCTCTACAAGCTAATAAAACTGAAGTTCCCACTACAGTTTTTCCATGAGAGGCACACCTGTGGGACACTGTCCACTCTCCTGAAATGTGTAGGGACAAAAAGTGTCCTTAAAACTGTTCTTTACTGAAACATGGTTAAAATTAGACAGTGTGTTCAGTAGTTATTAGCAGAGGCAGGCAGACAGATAGATAGGAATCCAAAAGCCTAAGTTTTTTAGATCAGCTTAAAAAGGGTCAAAATGTTCTGACTTGCAGAAGCCTTTTAGTTTGGTTATGGGTAACAGCACAAGGTTGTTTGGGGTTGGGGTTTTTTAGTGTGCCAGTTATACTATTTGCCTTTTTTCTTTTTTAACTCTCAATTTCAAAATAATATATTTTTATTTTCTTATGGCAAAAACTTGAAATTTTTCCAGCACAATTAGCTTAGTAACTCAGCTGCCTAAATACTCTTGGACAGACTTTATTAAACATTAGAACTGAGTGTATGCAATGTTTTTAGAAAAGAAAGTGTTTGCTTTAATTTTTAAAACCCCCACAACTTTCCTATACTCTACTTTGAATGTTACCGGTAATGTGAATATATTTCACACGCAAAGCTGAATATACAAAGCAGCTAAAATTGCAGGTGTTGAAGAACACTCTCAGTATTTTTCAAATTGAAAGCTTTCTGTGTTATGTCAGAAAAGAACCCAAAATACACTTAAAGCAGATGCATAAAATAAAGGCACTTAAGATGGGTATTTTTTCCAGACAGCGCTGCTGACTTCAGGAGGGTCAGGAGCACACAGATGTGCCCCTTTAATGCTTTCAGACTGGGAGTTGGAAATTCGAAATGTGGCACTCCTTGCTGTTAATGGGCACACAAAAGCTGTTTGGTGACAGTAGAGAGAAAGAGAAGCAAAAGATATAGACACCATGAAGCACAGATGAGAAGAGCTAAGGTTTGACACAGACTCATTGACTGCTGCCCTGAAAGAAAGGAAAAAAACAAAGCACTATAGCTTCATCTAGTCTAGCGAATGAATAAATAGAAGATGACAGAAAGTCTTTTGGATGCTTATGAATGTCAAATACTTTTAAGTGGCTGCCTTTCCTTGTCACTTAACATTAAAAAGCCATATAAAAATACACTTATGCTCAGTCACTTGGCTAGAGACATAAGGCTAAGCTTAGCTGGCTTATAATTTATGTATCGATTAGATACAAATGTTATGGTTGTCTTTTCTTTTAAAACAGCCCCCCCCATACTTTATCCATTATCTTTGTATAGTTCTTCCACCATCTGTGTGCATTACTTAAACAGATTAACAAGTAGAATTGTAAATTAGTCCCAAAAGAAACCCTTTCAAATTCAAGACCTGTTGTTTTTTCTTTACTTTTTTCCTTCCCAGAAAAAGATGCTTGTAGTAGATAAATACACAAATACATTTTGAAAAACAAGCATTATAGTAGTTTGCTGGTGCATGAAAACTGAACAACCTAAGAAGTAAAAGCATCTAATCCTTCATGACTAGAGACGTGCATTTTGCTTTCTAAGCACAAGAAATAACTGATCAGAAAATCATTATTGTTTCCCATTCTCCCCTTAGAAATTCCCACTCTTTCGCTTGTGCTAAGATGTAAATTAACTCCTTACTCCTTGATGACTATTCACAGACTAAGTGAGCAGGAATCGGTGGTCCTGATGTAAAACAGAGGTAAGCATCAAAGGCCAGAAAGTCTAAAATTACAGCTAAGAGGTGGACCAGTTGTTGTCTGTGAAAGCTAATTCTATCACAAAAGGTCCTGAAACCCAGGAGGAAATCAAACAGCAGTTTGTACTGGGAGGAGTTAAAGTTTTCCCGCTTGTAACAGTGAACTGTGTTACTGCTTATTAGGGAAAGGAATTATTTTTATCTCCTTCCCGTGTGCCAAGCAGGCATAGCTCAGCTGCACCATTCAAATCTTTCTTTGTCACAGTTCCCCTCCTCCCCACTCCAATTCATTTATCTGCACAAGCAGATTCTTTCTTTTACCACTCGAACTCATCTCTGCAGTGTGTCTACATCGATAGCCTTATACTAAAATTAAATCTCAATGAAAGTTAGCTTTTTTTGGTAGCTGCAGCCATTTTGAAACTGCTTTTTAAAAAAAATTCCCAAACAAACAAACAAAAGACAACCATTGAACCAACCAACGACAACAAAAAAAAATCACTCCCAAATCCTGTCACTCCTGGAGACCTCATATTACTGAGGGTTTTAGACTAAGGGGAGATACAAGGTTTTTAAGGGGAGAGAAAGCCCAAGACGAGCTGGGGTCCTGTGCAAATACATTATTTCAGAGCACTATCATCTTACAAAACAGGATTAAGTGTACAGCAGGATGATAGCATGATCTCCCCACAGTCTCTCTTTTCCCTTTCCATTATTCCCTGTGCCATTCTGGGTTGGAGTTCAACTATATACAGTGGAGAGAGGAGAAGGCACATAAGAGATAATGGAGGTGGGGGCAAATGGTGATAACAAAGAGTGTTCACCACAAAAATGACTTGCTGGCAGTACTGAACTGAGAGACAGCAAAACCAAATTTCAGTTGTAAAGATTTGTGAAACAATTTCATAATAGTAATATATAAACATAATAAAGTAGCAAACTAAATTCTGTGCACAGTGTGAAAAATAAGCCATCTCCTCATCTCATAGTGACTGCTAGCTATTACCATTTAGGAACAAGATCTTGGAGATATTTTTGCTAGTTCTGCAAATATGTCACCTCAGAGCTCACTAGTGATCAAACAAGCATTGTTAAGAATGAGTAGGAGAGGAACAGTGAACAAACCAGAAAACATTGTCATGACACTGGGCATTCACATCTCAAATCATCTGCGTAGTTCCAGTCTTCTCTCTCAACAAAGATATAATCAAATTTGATAAAAGTCATGGCAGAAAGGAAATAAGAACTAGTAAATGTTGCACATCATCTGCTGAAGGAGAGATTTAATAGGATTCTTCATAAAGGAAGAGGTAGCAGAAAGAAGGCAATAAACATCACAAAGTGTCTGGGTGATGATTGTTCACAATTTCTCAGTTTAAGCTTAAAAAGACTGAAGGAAGAAAAAGGGTGTTTTTTTATTTTTTCCTTTTTCCTTTATTTTTGCCCCACCCCACAAAACAAGCTGCTCACTGGAACTAGACATGGGGGGATTGCATGTGTGTATTACTTAAGTTTCCTTTTCTATGTATTTTTTTTATTCTTTCGTTTTTTTTTTTTTTTTAACCCTTCTAAACTTTTTGTCATTATCAGTCAGGTGCTATTGAAACAAAGATGTAAAACCTCAAACACATCAGTAAGTGCTTTGTCATCTGTGGCCACTGCCAGGGGTGTAACACCGGGCCAGAGAGAGCCTCCGTTTTCACCAAAAATGAACTTCCCAAATACTCATGTGCATTTTCTTAAGGTTGCCAAATGTGGGTTCTATGAAAATAGGCATGTGTCAGTAAGACCATGTCCAGCTGCCAAATGCTATAAGGTCTTGATGGTTCTTGGACGTTGGGAGGGGAAGGATAGGAAGATTGAGAAAGTGTTTTCTAGAGCAAGGTCTATTTAATAACACAGAGACTGTAAAATTATGGGCACCTCACTCCCATAAGGAACATCAAGTTATTCAGACCTTCCAATACACAAACTGATGTGACACACCATTTGAAAACTACACAAAAGGCTTGTTGCCCCACCTTGTCAAAGACGTTTGTATTTGGTATCATGCCGCAGTGCTGTAAGTAGCAACAGTAGGAAGTACAATATAATAGAATCAGACACTTGAGTTCAGGAACATTAATAAAAGGCTAGAACAAAGCTATAAAGGGTGACTCTTCTTGGAGAAGGAGCTATCAAATATTAGGAAGTTAAAAAATGGTTTTGATCTTTTGACCAGTGAACAATGAACATTGTGCGTTTATTAGACTATTTCTTTCCTGTGTTCAGTATACATTAGACTTTTTAATATACATTGTATAACCCGTATAATCACTTTAAGAGAACTAACCCCAGTAAGACACAATGACTTTACCAATACTCTGCCCTTCTGATTAGAACAGGAGAGGTGGAGATCTACCTGTCCCACTGCAGGGCTGGGGGCTGCATGCACAAACCACCTCCCTGGGACATGGCTTTCTGTCTTGGATTCTGTTCTGCAAAACAAAGTTAATTATACAGTTTTCCCCTCCATTTTTGACTGAGCCCTTTGAACTGCACTGCTGAAAAGCCATTGAAGAGCAAGGTATTAGAGATCAAAACCAGATGCGAACTGCAGACATAGATCCATCATCCACAAAAGTTTTGCTTTGGACCTCAACTTCAAACTCTTCTCCTTTCTATCAGTGTTGCTGGTGGAGGATATAAATATGTCCACAAGCTTCAAGAAGGTTCAGATACAAACCTGAATGTGAACTTTCTGGCTCCTGCCCTTCTTTTGACTTTAAAGCTCATCTCAAAGGCAGCCTCCTGCACATGGTACATTCTCATTGAAGTGCATATTTTCCCATCTAATACTAAGCACTTCAAAGCACACTGCCCTGTTTCTCCACTGCTCATTGGCTTCAGCAGTGAACAGCAGCTAAGTTGCTAGTATTATGTCTAGCTTCTACTTCGATACAACATCAAAGGGACATATGTATATTTTAAAGAATTACAGCTAGAGCTGTGCAAAAACTTGCCTTACAAGCCCCAAACCTTAGTAGCATGTTTGTATCTTCACCTTTCTTTGTATTATCCTTTTCATGCTCTGTGTTAGGATCACAGAAAAAATGTTGATAGAACAACTCCAATTATTCCAAATAAAACCGACTTACTTTAAAGGTTCAGATAATGAATGATGTCCTTGGTGTTCACAGGCACTGGGGAGACTAACTTGTTTCAGTTAAGAAGGAATGCCAAATAATCACACAAATAATACATGCCTGAAGTTTTACAAGCTTGGCTTCCTTCCTTCTTGCGCTCTGATGTGTATTCCCCCAAGTTCTCTCATTCTCTCCAAATCATTTGCATGACTACTCTGCCTCCCTGAAATTACAGTACAAAGAAACTCCCTGCTCTGCAAAAATCCACTACCCTATAACCCATTTGAGAAGTTTTAAACATACATTTGACACTTTTCAGTTTAGGGATACAAGTGGATGTTAGGGATGCTGAAGTTATTTACCTAAAGACACTTCAGGTGCACCCCATTACTGGGTCACCATGCAGTATCTACAGCTTTCAATCTTTCACATACTCATCTTCTGAATACCTCATGGGAAGTCAAGAAGTGCTATTATGTCTGGTTTACAATCATGAAAATGAAGAGAGTAGAAGCAAATAGCATGGTTTGGGAAAGTACTTCAGATCCTAAATCACTTAACCCTCATTACAAGCAATGTAGTGCTGTGCTCCAGGGACAGTATGATAAGTCAGCAGCCTCTTCTACACTGCTCACTGGAAACAGCAGAGTGCTTCTCCAGGGAGCAACCTACAGGATTTTTCTAGAAAAAAGAAACATTAGACATATTCACATATGACTATACCTAATTCAGGGAAGCCTTTTTGAGAACAGCAGACTGATTTCAAATGTTTTGAAATGTTTGAAGTGTCACAGTGTATTACAGCATTCTTACCTCATGATCCTTGCCCCATTCTGGCTTTCTGCAGCAGATAAGTCCTGTTATATTTATATCCTGTTATAAATACCCTGTGATATTTGGGGTTGTAAATGCAATTCAGGCACCTGCAACACAATGGTTTCTGAAAAATTCTACCTTTTCATGACTTGGTTGAAATGAAGGTTACTTCAATCTCCAGAAACCTGAAGCGCTGTCGTACCTGAAGGGTCATCTGCAAAGAGACCATGTTCATGCATACGCATACACATGTGTGTATCTGTGCACAACTATATAGAGTCACTGGTCACTTCTGCCTCTGTTTATTGCTCAAAAATTCAGGAGAAAGTTAGTGACATACAAACATAGAATAGAATCATAGAATAGTTAGGATTGGAAAGGACCTCAAGATCATCTAGTTCCAAACCCCCTGCCATGGGCAGGGACACTTCATGCTAAACCATGTCACTCAAGGCTTCATCCAACCTGGCTTTGAACACTGCCAGGGATGGAGCATTCACAACTTCCCTGGGCAACCTATTCCAGTGCCTCACTACCCTAACAGGAAAGAATTTCCTCCTTATATCCAATCTAAACTTCCCCTGTTTAAGTTTGAACCCATTACCCCTTGTCCTGTCACTACAGTCCCTAATGAAGAGTCCTGCCCTAGCATCCCTATAGGCCCCCTTCAGATACTAGAAGGCTGCTATGAGCATGCCTTCTCTTCTCCAGACTGAACAGCCCCAACTTTCTCAGCCTATCTTCATATGGGAGGTACTCCAGTCCCCTGATCATCCTTGTGGCCCTCCTCTGGACTTATTCCAACAGTTCCATGTCCTTCTTATGTTGAGGACACCAGAACTGTACACAATACTCCAGGTGAGGGCTCACAAGAGCAGAATAAAGGGGCAGGATCATCTCGACCTGCTGGTCACGATCCTTTTGATGCAGCCCAGGATACAGGTGGCTTTCTGGGCTGCAAGCGCACACTGAAGCTGGCTTATGTTCATTTGCTCATTGAAAAGCCCGCCTAAGTCCTTCTCCGCAGGACTGCTCTGAATCTCTTCTCTGCCCAGCCTGTATCTGTGCCTGGGATTGCTTCAACCCAGGTGTAGGACCTTGCACTTGGCATGGTTAAACTTCATGAGGTTGGCATCAGCCCACCTCACAAGCGTGTCAAGGTCCCTCTGGACGGCATTCCTTCCCTCCAGCGTATCAACCAAACCACACAGCTTGGTGTCATCAGCAAACTTGCTGAGGGCGCACTCAATCCCACTGTCCATGGCACCAACAAAGATGTTGCACAAGACCGGTCCCAACACCAATCCCTCAGGGACACCACTCGTTACTAGTCTCCAGCTGGACATTGAGCCATTGACAACAACTCTTTGTGTGCGGCCATCCAGCCAGTTCTTTATCCACCGAGTGGTAAATCCATCAAATTGATGTCTCTCCAATTAAGAGACAAAGATGTCGTGTGGGACAGTGTTGAACACTTTACACAAGTCCTTGTAGATGACATCAACTGCTCTACCCCTGTCCATCAGCTCTGTAGCCCCATCATAGAAGGCCACCAAGGTGGTCAGGCAGGATTTCCCCTTAGTGAAGCCATGCTGGTTGTCACCAAGCACCTTGTTGTTTTTCATGTGCCTTAGCATGCCTTCCAGGAGAATCTGCTCCAAGATTTTGCCAGGCACAGAGTTGAGACTGACTGGTCTGTAATTCCCTGGGTCATCCATTTTCCCCTTCTTGAAAATGGGGGTTATATTTCCCTTTTTCCAGTCGTTGGGAACTTTACCTGATTGCCATGATTTTTCAAATATGATGGCCAGTGGCTTAGCAACTTCATTCGCCAGCTCCTTCAGGACCCGTTGATGGATTTCATCAGGACCCATGGACTTGTGCATGTTCAGTTTCTTAAGGTGGTCTCAAACCATATTGTCTCCTACAGTGGGCCCAAGATCATCATTCTCACAGTCCCTGCGTCTGCCTTCCAAGACTTGCGTGGTGCGGTCAGAGCTTTTGCAAGTGAAGACCTAGTCAAAGAAGTCATGTAGAACCTCAGCCTTCTCCAAATCCTGTGTAGCTAGTTCACCTGAGAGCTTCCTGAGGCAGCCTACGTTGTCCCTAGTCTGTTTTTTATTTGTTATGTACCTGTAGAGTCCCTTTCTGTTATCCTTAACATCCCTAGCGAAGTTTAATTCTGACTGGGCCCTGGCTTTCCTAACCTGGTCCCTAGCTTCCCAGACAACATCCCTGTACTCTTCCCAGGCCGCCTGTCCTTGCTTCCATCTTTTATAAGCCTCTTTTTTCATTTGACTTTTCCTCAGGAGCTCCTTATCCATCCAAGGAGGTCTCCTGGCCCTCCTGCTGCACTTCCTTCTAGTTGGGATGCAACACTCCTGAGCTTGTAGCAGGTGATCCTTGAACATCAACCAACAGTCTTGGGCCTCCTGCCCTCTAGGGCTATATCGCATGGAACCTTACTAAGCGGGTTTTGAAACATGGCTTGTTTGGAGCATTTTAAAGTACTGACAATTAGCAGATACCAAAAGTAACAAATAAAACAATAAGCTTCCAACAAACTCATCCATTAAGTCCATGGAGTTGATTAAACCTTTAAACATGCACTCATGAAGTCCATGGAGTTGATTAAACCAGTGTAACCTGAAGTACTTGTTTCATCTTCCTAACAAACAGAAGACACTCTGATAAAAAACAAAACAAAAGAAAAGACAAAAAAAACACCTCAAAAAGGAAAGAGAACATAAAAGTTTTCCCTCTTGATGGTATTTTATAGATGACAAGGCATGAAATGATTGATCAGGCACTGTAATGATGGATAAGGACAATTGGCTGAAAGGTCAAAACTATTAAGTAAATAATAAAAGTGAAAAAAAAGAGAAGATGGCACATTTCTCTCTGAGGCACAGTAAGCTTAAATGGCAGGAAGACTTAATGTCATCATCACACTGCTTTTGTTTAAGCTAAAAGAACACTGAATGACAATATTAGCAATTAGTTAAGCACTTTTGTTTGTTCTTTGACAAGTAAAATATGGGCAAGGTTAAGCATATTTCAGTTACTTCCACACATATTAACGATTAAAAATTCACATTCTTTCTTGCAAAGTTTTTCCTTAAAACCAGTGTAATATAGTATGATATACTTACTATTTTTTTCCCCATCCATGAGTTTGCATCTACGTAGTCAAACACAAATTAAAGAAAAAAAATTGATGAGTACAAGCCAGAACTTTTCCTTATGTCAGGAGTTACAGATCTCTCTAGATTTTAGTATAGTTATTCCAATATAGTTATTGGATTTAACCCAATCTATAGATGTGATAGTGTGTGTGCTGCTGCAGCACAGAGGGGATTACAGTGGTAGCAGCTCCTCTTTATTCTATAAGCTAAGCTCACCTGTCTCTGGTAATGGAAGTTCAGGGAACTCAATGTAGTACCAACTAACACACAGGAGAGCCCTGCGGAGCTTGTGACTGCACCTGAGTGATGGTGACCCAACTCTCCTGGATATGATGCTACAGACCAAAAAGCTCTGTAGAAATTCTTAATACCTCCTAACACAGCAAGACAACTTTGTGAAAGAAGATTTTCACCATACCAACTATTGGATTTATTTATTTCAATTGTATAAAAGCATTTTTCATTAACATAAATGATCAATCATGACATATTTTGTTCTTTATAAAAAGTAGTTTGGGTTAGTTGTGGGGTTTTTTCCCTCTTTTTTTTTCTTCCTAAAGAAACATCTGCAAAAATATCTCCATTACACCCACAAATCACTGAACCTACCCAGCATTTCTTGAAGAGATGAATTTTTTTATTGCTATTATTTTAAATGTGACTTTGCGCTAGTGCATTTGTCAACATTAGAATAATTAGCTCAAGTTTCATCAACTAGCTGGTGCAATCTGTTCAGAAGGCAACTTGGAATGTTAAAAATCCTAATAAGCTTCTCCAGCTTCTCAGGTAAAGCCTGAGGGATTTGATTTCAGTTCTGTCTAAAATGAGAGGAAGTCTTTTACAAGATAAATCAATACAGCTAAAAACCATAAACACAAAAAGACTAACAATAATGCTACTTTTTCTAATATTTCAGGTTGTTGCATACTTTCTTTTTAAAAGAAAGAAGTGTTTTACAAAGGAAAAACTGAACTAAAGCAAATCTCGAGCTCCAAACCTACAAAAGCTTCCATGCCTCAGCAACCTCACATTTGTGAGTAATCCCACTGAATTAAAAAATATTTGAATCACAGATAAAATGTTACCCTGTATCATCTACTTCTAGTGAAACAGATATACAGCAAGTAATTTCTATATAGTTCTTGGTTCTTGCTTTTCTTGGGGCTGTTTGTGTCCACACACACATACATTTGTGTATTTTAAGTGCAGATAGAATCACTTCAGGCAGAAAAGGAAAAAACACGCTTCTGAGTTATTGGCTGGGCTTAAACTATGACATCAATACACAAAAATTACTTATTGATAGTGGTTTGTCTCCACCAAAAGGCAGCACAAAAAAATGGCGTCTCTGGAAATGCCTTAAACAGCTGTCTGATCAAAAGCAAAACATCATTAAGGCAGTCTTTCTCGCTTAGCAGTCATTTGCAAACACAGATCAGTAAAGCAAGAGGCTTAGAAAACTTTCAAGTAGAGAAGTCACTCAAAGAAACTACATTAACAACATTGGATTGTATGGTAAGAATGACATTGGGATATACATTGAGGTACATGTGTACATTAAGGTACACAAAAGTACACATTGGGTAGATGGTGACTTCACTGAGGCAGTTGTAAGGAATGAACTAATATTGGAACAATACAGGAACAAACACAGACTTGGTTGCCTTAATTCAGCAAAGTCCCACAAATAGTGAGATGAAAGCACAGAGCCAGGCACAGCCTCAGTAGGGATGGAAGAGAAGAGAGGGAAGCTTCACAAATGGAACTTCACAATGAAACTGGGAATGAGCAATTACAGCATGGCTCAAAATTCCTCCTCTCCCTGGTATACCGTCCATCACCTCCTCCAACAGAGCAGAATTAACAGGCTTATGCATATGCTATTTGCACAATAAGAGAACCAGCAGATAAAAAAATAACAGAGAACCAGCAGATAAAAAAATAACATAGAACAACTTTTTCTGAAAGGAAAAGAGCTGAGGACAAGCCCAGTCACAGTAAAAGAGCACTGTGCTTTGCCAGCAATAAG